CCCCGGCTCTGCTCTCCTCTGAGCCCAGCTGTCAGCGTCGCATCAGGCATGATTCAGGGCGCTAGGGAGGCAGACAGAAACCACAAACATGTACAGTCTGTGAGTACGAAGCATGTGCTATGCACTTCTAAGCACTCTACGTGGACGAATGTATGTAATTCTTAGAACACACATGTGAAAGGTACCATGATTTCCATTTTGCAATGAGTGAGGTGAAGGAACTTAAAATCACACAACTTGTAAGTGGGAGGGGTGGGAGGAGACACCAGCCTTAACCACTGATCATAGGCCACTGACTAATAACATTCTAGGACATAGGATGGACATGCGAGTGTGTTGCACCTGTGCATGTAGCATAGACACTGTCTATAGATGTGTAGGCGGGTATGAGCACAGGGCACACAGGGACAGCTAGAGGACTGTGACCATTTCCACAGCCGCCATTTTTCTTGCTTCTGGCTCAGTTAGGGCTCAGCTGCTCCTGGGGAGTCTACCTGGCGTTTGGAAAGAGCCGGCTTCGGACTCGGACAGGTGTTGGTTGGAATGGTGGCTTTGCCACTCCGGCCCTAGGGTCTTCCTGACCGCCATGACCCCCTTATCATAAGTGAGGCCGTGAGGATCAAATACGACCTCAGCGTGCAGGGCACGGGCGGTGTGATGGTGAGGATGTCTCGTCGTCTTAAGAGAGCCAACCGTAGACGTGGGAGGGTGCCCGGAGGCCCGAGGAGCCGCTCTCACCTGCTGTGCCTCTCCCCTCCAGCTCTGATCGTGGGCGGCACTGTGGGCATCCTCTTTGCCGTCTTCCTGGTCCTGCTGCTGATGTACCGCATGAAGAAGAAGGACGAAGGCAGCTACGACCTGGGCAAGAAGCCCATCTACAAGAAAGCCCCCACCAACGAGTTCTACGCCTGAAGCTTCCCCGTGGACACCGGCTTGGACCTGAGGGGGGCGAGAAGCCGGGGGACTGTGGAGGGTGGGCTTTAGAGTAGGGGGAGGACAACCTAATCCTGACCTGTCAGCATCTTCAGCTCTGGACACATTGTACGGGCGGGAGACACAGCACCTTCTGTTCCTGCCTGCCTCTGGGTTCCCTGGGTCTCCGTGGTCCCAGCGGAGAAACAAGGCTCCACGTGGCCTTTCCAAAGGCAAGTCTAGGGCTGTGTTATTTCTGCATCTTCCAGTTTAGAATCTAGGCCCTGCTTAGAGCCTGTACTGACCACGCCTCACCGGAGCCCCCCTGAGGCTGCCGAATGAGTCCCGCGGGAGGCCTGTCTCCAGCGCCTTCCCCTCTGCCCTTCCCTTTCATCGCCGGCCCCCCTGCCAGGAACCTGGAGAAGGAGCTAGAACCACCCGCACCTTGAGATGTGCCGTGAAGGGCACTGTGTCCACACTACAGGAGTGTGTGGTATACCACACCTCGGGCCCTTGGGCTCTTTGAGTGACTTTTGGAAATCCACCTTTTTTATTTGGGGAGGGTGAGGGTGGGGGAGCCTAACGTTCATATTGAAATGGATTTGTAGAATTTTTGTAAATCTATTTTTAGTGGGGTTGTTTTGTTTTGTTTTGTTTTTTTCAACAGTTCATTCCTTTGTGTAGGCCTGGGCAGGAGTGCACAGGTGCCAGGGCGCTCTCTGCTCTCGTGCACCGTACCCGCTAAGTTTGTATTTAATGGTCGTTTGGTTTTGTTCTTGGTTTTTGTTTCTCGAAACTGAGAGAAGAGCCGGAGATATGATTTTTATTTTTATTTTTTACTATTTATAGCTTCCGACAGGGCCTTGCTTTCCTGTTTTCCTTCAGGTCCCCTCCCAGTTTTATAAAACAGACTTCACAGTCCTCTGCTCATGACTTGGACCCTTTCCGAAGCTGCTTCCTCTAAGAAGTGGCTTTTGCGGAGACATAGTTTTCTATCTAGCAGATCCCAAAATATAATGTAAGGGATGGTGGGATATGTGTGTCTCTTTTCTTGTAATATATTATTATCCTTTCTTGGTTCTAGGAAAATAGATGAATATATTTTTTCAGGAGGTAGTGTGATATTCCCATTTGAAGTTGGCTGGGCGGTTGAGTGAGTGAATTTTTCTGTGGCCGAGGGGGGTTTTGCCTGTATCTCTTGCCCGGTCCTGGTGCCTTTTCACGGGGCTAGACTAGTTGAGGGAAGATAGTTCTGCCTTCTTCTCAGCTTGAGTTCCTCATTTCTCCAAATTGAAGAGAAAATTGGAGAGCTGTGCTCGCCAATACAGTAACCACCAGCCACAGGTGGCCACGCCAATTAGAATTTCATCAAGTCAAAAATCCATTCCTCAGTTACACTAACCGCATTTCAAGGGCTCAGCTGCTATGCGTGGCTAGTGGCCGATGGAGTGAGCAGGCAGGTGGAGGCGGTTTCCGTCTGTTGGAGAAATGCTGGAGAACTAAGCTGGCTTAGCGAGTCACAGCCCCAGCATTGCTGGCGTGACCTTTGTCTTCCTGGGCAAAGGACAGGTTGGGGAAGGCTGATTGGGCCCTAGCTCGGAGCCTGTTACCCATGACCTTCCCCTTCCAGAGAGAAGGGCTTGGCGGCCTAGCCTGGGTAGGCTGCATCTTCTGACCCCACTGGCTGGGGTGGGGGGAATCAGCCTCATTTCCTGTCCCCTGCACCCCCACAACCCAGGGTTCCCAGCTGGCTGGGTCCTCTTCTCCATCCCCCACCCACCCATCCCCGGGCCCTCTCCTCTGGCTGGGTTGGAAGTGAGCGCCTCTTGTAGCCCCTCACACTGTTGTCTGTTACTGACTTTTTGATAAAAAGATAATAAAACCTGGTACTTTCTAGATCGCCCGCTTCTGTGGTTTTTTATTTTTAAAAAAATACATTTTATTGATTTTTTACAGAGAGGAAGGGAGAGAGATAGAGAGCTAGAAACGTCAATGAGAGAGTGACATCCATCAGCTGCCTCCTGAGCACCCCCTACCGGGGATGTGCCCGCAACCAAGGTACATGCCCTTGATCGGAATTGAACCCGGGACCTTTCAGTCCGCAGACCGACGCTCTACCACTGAGCCAAACCGGCTTTGGCCCGCTTCTGTGGTTTTAAAGTTCATAAGGTCTCTCTGGGCTCTGGTTCCCTTGGCCTCAGTGGAGCCTCAGATGACTGTCCTGCCTACATGCCCGTGGGGAGGCGGACAGCGGAGGCGGAGATGTGGGAAGCCAGCAAAGGCCCGGAGGGGGTGGGAGAAGTGGGAGGGTGCATGCCGAGGCCTGTGGGGCATGCACGCCTACCTCTGTGTTGCTGAGATAGGATCGTGTTTAAAAAACAAACGTAAGAAAGTCCTTGGAGTAGTTGCCAACTAGAAATGAGGCCATTTCCCATAAAAATCCAGATTCCTCATGTCTCTTGGGGACAAAGATTTGACAGCTTTCAGGTAGCGTGGCAGCAATTAGCTGCTGCCAGGCAGGAGCCTGCCTACATGGTGGTTCTCGGCCTGGCCACAGACTGTCCACCAGCCTCACTCACGTCACCAGCTTGGCCTCAGCGGGCACTGTAATCGGCAGACTCTGGACACTTCTGATCCTCACAGCCATGCTGGGAGCTGGGTAAGATCCTTCTTATCTACCAGACCTCCAGGAAGTCCATTTTGTGCTTTACTCCTGAACTCACTCGTCACAATTCCGCACAATAAGATCCTGTTAGCACCCCGTTTTACAGATGAGGAATCCAGCGAAGAGGTTAAGTAACTCGCCCAAATGGACACACTGCCCATGAGTTCCCACCCCGGCCGGTGGGCTCCAGAGTGCTCACGTCCACAATGTCCAAGGCTTTGTATCAGCGTCCCTTCACTGGGGACACGCCCCCTTTGAGGCAAGGAGCCTGGTCTCAAATCCCCTCTGAGACCCCTGCCACCTTGGGATTTCCTGAGCCCCAGGAGGCTGGAGGGGCCTCTGCTCCTTGTAACTGGAGTCTTGCAAGACGCCCTCACATCTGTTCAAACGGGCTGCTCGTTTTGAATCACCAGGGGTTTGGGGGTGAGCTTGGTAGGGTGGCCCCCACTTCAACACTTTGTAACCAGATTGCGTCCACCTGGAGCCTGGTCACAAGGTCGAGCCTTTCCCCAGGACTTTGCCTGCTCCGCCCATCCCCCCACCCCTGCCCCAGGTGGCCAGCAGCCAGTTAGAGCAGGTGTTTACCACTTCACCACTGAAGGCGTATTGTGTCACCGCAGCCCCGCCTGCTTTTGTCAACTGGGGCCTGGAACAGAGCCAAGCCTCACGGTGGGGCCCTTTGGGGTGAGTATGGTCAATGTTGACCCTTGTGAAACTCATTGTGTTGCTGGTTTCGTTCCCCTTAAAGCCACTTCCTCTCTCTCTTACCATCTTCATGGTCTATGGCCTGAGCAGTCCCCATCCTCCCCAGGGGGGAAGATACCTGAGAATTTCCCACTGTGGTTATGAGTTCTCTTGGAGGAAACCCAATTTAAACGAGAGAGAGACAGAGACAGAGAGAGACAGAGACCCAAAGGTCCATGCTTAAGCCAGAAAGCTAGTTTGTTCATGGCAGAACCTCAGGTAGCATGAAAGCTGGTCAATTGGGAGATTTTGGAACAAAAAAATGTTGTCTTTATTCTCACTATGTGCTCTGCCGCCTGCTTTCTGCCCCTTGTAATGCACACACACTACCGACAGCTAGCAGCAAACTAAAGTGTTAAATACTATTAGGCAGAGAATTAAAAAAACCTCAGAGCACCAGACTTAGCATTAGGAGTATAGAATTCAAATCAGACTCTGTCCTCAACCTACTCTGAGAACTTCGCGGGCCTACTCTCTCGGAGCCTCAGTTTCCCCATTGGTAAAAATGAGGAGGAAATGGGAATGGGAGCAATGTATCTCAACCCTGGAAGGTTCTGATCCTGAGAGCTTGAAAAAGTGGTTATCTTGAGGAACCCTGGCAGGAGGAAAACTCAAATTCTCAGGAAGGGGGCAGTGCCACTTGCTGGTTTCACTTTGCACTTGCAAGCTCCAGATGTAATGGAATGCAATTTGGTATTTATTGAGCCCAACTCAATAACCAAGCATTGTACTGCGCCCTCCAGGATATACAGCGACGAGCTCCTTTCCACTTGAAGCTCGTGGTCTACAGGGGACACTTGAAATGTACACAAAGCCCTTTATTCCAAGGGGGGCGTGCTCCCAGTGAGGCTTTCCACCGTGTGGACACACGACCTGCTGTATGGCCTGGTGACATGTACAGTCACACTAGGCCTTGTGCTTAGCAGGGCCCTGCCTTGATTTCAGGTTCCGCTGTCACTGTCTTGGAATTCGGAATAACTTTGGGACGGGGCCCCACACATTGTGCAGTTGATCCTGCCTTGGGGAGACCTTGGTGGCAGTGGCATCTGAGCTGGGTTTGGAGGACAGGGTGGTAGTGGCAGGAGAGCGAAGGAGGCCTATTTTAGTGTGGAAGGAGGGCTGGAGTCAGTCCTTAGGCCTTGGGAACTGGGTGATGTGGGGGAAGGAGATCAGAGAGGAAGGGCTGTGAGAGGGGTCGGGCAGGGAGGGGAGTTTGATGTTCCATGGATTCAGGCTTAGGCTGGGAGGACCTCCAGGGACAGTCCAGCAGCTGGAACTCAGGCTCGGGCTGGAGCGTTGAGGTCATAGACTTCCAGGAGGGAGTGCGGGTGGGACCCAGGGATCTAGGGTGCCCTGGGGAAGCTGCATAGCTGGGCCAGGGCTCTCAGGCCAGCCAGATTCTTGGCTTCCAGCAGGCCTGCCTGTGGAGTGGCAGAGGAAGTCCTTGAGGGCAGGGCTGGATGGGCCCTTGAGCCCCAACTTCCTGTGTGGTGGGCTACGAAACTCCTCTCAGCCTCCTCAGGAGTGGCTTCCGGCTTCACCACCACCACAGGCACGGAGCCCAAGCTCTCCTGAGGTGAGCACTCACCTCGGGGGCATTTCCCCTTCAGCTTGTGCCCTGCATTCCTTGGCTAGGAGGGGCCTGGAACCAGCTGCTCCTTCCCTGGGATGGGGGAGGGGGTTCACCCTGCTGACCGAGGCTTTGGGGAGTCTAAAGAGCAAACTTCTTGGGAAGTGTCAGCATCTTCTTTCTCCTGGGGCTTTCCATGTTCTGGGGGAGGAGTTTCTGCAGAAAACAGCCCCTCCTCAGAGTTCAAGGGAAGTCCAGGCAGGGAGGAGGTGAGAACCCTGAACCAGCACTTCAAACTGGTTCTCTCCACTTGGCACCAGGAGGAGCTGGTACAGGCCGCTGGTACCTGTGATAGGTGTGCCCGGTTCCAGCAGCCAGAATCAGGACCCTGTCCGGGCCCTCTGCTTCCCGGAGAGCACAGAGCGGCAGAGGGCGGGCGGGCTGCGCAGGGATGGCTGTGGCCTGGTCTCCGGGCCTCATGCAGAGAAGCTTCTCTCGCAGCTGGGTTACTGCCCGGTTGATCTCAGATGTGTCTGGAGGTGTCCTGGGGACGTTTTATTGTGTCCTGTGTTCTCCCTGTGTGTCTGGGGTGCATCTTTGCTTGGGGTGGGGTTGTTGGTAGGATAACTCATTGCCAGCGTGAACAGGTGGCCCCCAGGGGCGGCATCCGGCCAGGGCTGCTGGCTTCTTCTCCAGGAGGGGCCCACAGGACAGGCTCTCTGCTCCGTGGCGTGCTTCCTCCCCCCTGTGAGGGCGGGGGAAGCACACTGGAAGGACAGGTGGGTTGTACAGATTAGAGTCTCACTTGGATTGGAGGTGCTGCTAGCACAGCAGAGTGACCCCTGGCCCTCAGTACTGCATCCTCATGGGCCTACAAGAGAAGGGCCTGGTGGATAGTGAAGATGGCAAGACCCTCCCAGTGCCCAGGCACCTGCCCAACCACTAAAGACGTGAGCCAAAGAGGAAGCACCGGCCAAGGTGCAGCACCTGCCTCCAGGTGGGACCCGGGGCTCAGGGGGGACCTGACAACCCCCACAGATCTCATACTCCCATCAGGGCCCGGTGCTCCAGGGTCTGTAGGCCAGGCCTGGGCGTGAGAAACGCTGTGAGACAGAGACAAAGATGGAGCAACAGGGCACACAGAGAGACATCCACAAAGGTACCGAGGGAGGGAGACAGACTGTGATTTAGAGTGAACCGTAGACAAAGGCGGGAGAGCCGCCCGGAGTGCAGCAAAGAGAGCATCTTCCTGGGCGTCAGAGGAGCAGCCAGTTGCAAGCCCGCAGGGCCGGGTTTCAGGGCTGCTGGGCCCGGCGGCCCCCGGCCTCCGCGGCACCCGGGGCAGAGGGCGGGGCGCCGGGCGCCCGGGCAGAGGGTGGGAGGGGAGTCGGGGCCTAGGTCTGGATGAAGAGGTGGAAGTTGGTGCGCGTGAACTCGCGGTGGATGCTCTCCAGCAGCGCGTCGGCGTCGGCGGCGGCGGGGGCGGCGGGGGCGGGCGCCCCCGGGGGCGCGGGCAGCGCGCTGAGCTCGGGGGTGTAGGTGAAGGAGAAGGCGCTGGGGTACAGCAGGCCGTCGGCGCGCACCAGGCTCACGGCCACGGTGATGGGCGTGCGCAGCCAGCGCCAGGCGCTGCCAAAGGCGGCCACCACGGGCACCACGCACACCAGGGACCGCGGGCTCCTGGGGCGGGACAGGGGGCAGGGTGGGGGTCAGGGCTGCAGAGACCTCCGGGCGGGCTGATGACAAGCCCCCTCCGCTCCCCGCCCATTACCTGTACATGGTTTCCGCCTCCACGTCCCCGAACCACACCTTGAGCCCCGCGTGGAAGTTCTCCCCGTGGAGCTCCAGAGTGGCCACGTCTCCCCCGCCGCTGAGCTGGGAGAGGGTGGGACCGGAGATGTGGGGGAGGGTGGCCAAGCCCGCCCCCGCCCTCCCTCCTAGCGCCCATCCTCCCCCCACCCCCGCCCCCACTCACCTCCAGGGCGCTGACGAGGGGCACCGGGGTGACGGGCTCCCGGGTGCGCGCCAGGCTGGCGCTGAAGGAGAACTCCACCGCCTCGGTGCCTATGATGGTCCAGCAGGAGCTGTCGTTGAGCAGCGCCCGGTTGGCCTCCTTGGGGCAGGGGGCAGCCTGGGCGGAGGCGCGGGGGGAGGGGCAGGAGCTCCGGTTGGCGGCGCCCGGGCTCCGGGTTCTGGGTTCCAGTCCCAGGCGCTGCGGGATGCCTGCCCTTGGAGCTTAGACCAGGCCCTTCCGTCCCCCCTCAACCCCCCCCCCCCCCCGAGTTAAATAAGTTCGCTGGGTGAGCTGGCTTCCAAAGGTCTATTTTGTTAGGATCCTAGAATCCTATGTTTAACACTGCAGTTCTGTGCCCCAACATTCCACAGTTCTGAGACTTACAATGTTATGATTCGAATGGTCTTTGCTCCATCACACTCAATATCCTTATTTATTGTTTTTTTTGTTTTTTTTTTAATTTTCAGCCTGCAACTTTATATTCCAGCCTCCTAAGACTCTAATAGTCTGTGGGAAGGAGCACTGCTCAGTAATGTTATTATTATTATTTTTATTTTTATGTTCTCTGATTCTGTGTTCATAGTCTATGGTTCTAGCATCCCCCGGGAGGAAGGAGAGCTCATACAACAATGATGGTCTAACCCAGTGGTCGGCAAACTCATTAGCCATCAGAGCCAAATATCCACAGGACAACGGTTGACATTTTTTTGGAGAGCCAAACTTTTTAAACTTAAGCTTCTGCTACCACCACTTCTTCAAAACAGACTCGCCCAGGCCGAGGTATTTTGTGGAAGAGCCACACTCAAGGGGCCAAAGGGCCGCCTGTGGCTTGCGAGCCGCAGCTTGCCGACCGCGGGTCTAACGTGCCGTGGCTCTCCGCACTCTAAGAGGCCTGGTGCTGATCCCCTCCGCTCCTCACCTGGAACTGCACCACCTTCTCTGTGGCCAGACACAGGTAGGTGCCCCCGCCGCCAGGAGGGCCCCCGGGGAACTGGAGCGCGCACTTGTGCAGCTGGGAGATGGGCTCGTCCACGTCGAGGAGCGCACACTGCTTGGCCACTTTGCGGATGATCTACAGCAACAAGGTGACAGGAAGTGTGACCGCACGGTGTCTGGGTGCCGGAGGCCACCCTCCCTGCCAGCTTTCTGCTCCTCCCGTAGCCATGTGGGCACTGGCAGACCCCCCACCCCCAATGCCAGCCCTTTGCCTCTATCCGGCCCCGCAAAGCACTGAGTATCCTGGGTGAGAGCTCTACAGGTGTCTCTATGCCTCAGGCCCTCCCCCTCCAGCCCTGCCCGCGTGGGTCACCCTCTGCATGGCTCCGGGGACCCTCCCTTCCCTACCATCGGAGGGAGCGTGATGCCCGTGACAGTGCAGACCAGCCGCACCAGGGAGCCATAGCGGATGTAGCCCTCTCGAGGGGGGAAGTCCCCCTGGGAAGAGTGGTCATCAGCTGGGAGGGAAAGGAAGGAAGGAAGGAAGGAAGGAAGAAGAGGGTCTCAGAGGGCCCCATGCTGCTGCTCCAAACCCTGCCCTTCTGGCCTCTGCCACCACCCCGTCAGCGCCCCATGTGGGTCTTGTGGGTATGGTTGAAGGTTCCCCTCCCGAAGGGGTCCCTCGTGGCCATCCTTGCAAAGGTCTGACCCCTGGGGCAGGGGCTGAGGTAAGGGCCTGGGCTGGACACTGGATTCACAGGTCATGGCTCAGTCACCAACTCACTGGCACCCCTGGCAAGTCTTTTTGTGTTTCAAAGTCTCCGTTCCAGGGGCGGAGGTCACCTTCCCTGAAGTGTTGGGTGAGTGAAGGCGAGTGCCCGCCCCCGCCCGCGGGTGTCATTACCCAGGTGCAGGGTGAAGGCCGCCCACTGGCGCGCACTGGCCACGAAGGCCCCGTCCTCCACCGAGAGGTAGCGCGTGGAGACCGTCTGGGAGCGCAGGCGGTTGAAGAGGGAGACCTTGGAGCCCGAGGATATGCACACTGAGAGGGGAGGAGGAGTCAGTGCCCCGGCCTGGCTGGGTCCCTTGGACATGCCAGACGCTTCCACTCTCTGTCCCCTGTGCCCATTTGGCTCCAATGCCCGCCAGCCTAGACACAGTGGGCATTCACATGTCACAGCCATTTATCCAGCACCCGCCCTAGTCCCGCTCCTGCACGTGCGCCTGCTCACTTTGGCTGCCTGGGCGTCCTTCAGCTCCCTACACGATCATGAAGAACCCACTACTTGAGGCAGGCCCTGAGCAGGGTGCTGGGCCCCAGAGGGAGAATCAGATGTAGGCTTGGTCTGGAGGAGCTCAGGGTCTCAGAGAGGAAGCAGGGACATAAATATAAGATTTCAGTCAGGTGGGTAAGGACTGGGCGAAGGAGGGCTTCCTGGAGGAGGCGATGCCCTCAGCTGGGGAGCGTGAAGTAGGTAGAAGGGCTTGGGGGCTGCATAAGCAGAGGCCCTGTCGTGTGAAGCAGCAGGGCAACGTGTCTGGGGCTTGGCATCGATCTCTTCCAGCCTCTCCCGTAGGAAGAGCCACTGTTTGTTTTCTGATTACCGGTAGATTTTGACCACCCGGGGAGAACACCTCGGGCCATCTCCCTCTCTCCCTTCACAGCACTAGGCATACACTCAGCCCACATTCGGATCCATGGTCCAATAGCTGAAGTTTGCTGTGTGCCAGGTACTGTTTTAAATGCTTTCTAGGCATGAGTTCTTTTGAACCTCTCAGCAACCCTCGGAGATATTATCTCCACTGAGGAGAGCAACATGCTGAGGGCCACTGGACTCAGAGCCAGGATTCAGAGCCAGGCCACCCGGCTCCAGAATCTGCACTGCACCCACCGCACTGTAACACTCCTCCCTGGCCCCGTCCTGACACCCAGGGCCAGCCGAGTGTGGATCTGAGACATCCTTCGGGGTTTCTTCGGAGTGACATCAACACAAGTCCAAATCCTGGCTGGACCGCTTCCTAGCTGGCCTGGAATATGCTAGGCCCAAGTGTGTCTCAGACAAATGGATGAGTGTTCCAAACCTCATTTTCCGCATCTACAACATGGGGACAGTGACAGTACCTCCCTCACAGGGACACAGTGAGCATCAAATAGGCTGGTGCATTTAAGGTGTTCTAGGAAAGCTAACCCTCCCTTCGCCTCCCCCTTCCTCCCCCCTCCCATCGGGGATGGTGGTGGTGATGTCACTGTTATTCAGGCTCCCCCCACCCCCTTATAGTCTCAGATCCTCCAGTACTTGGCACCCAGGACAGTACTTGTCTCAGACTCTCTCTTTGATCCTCTATGCATGCCCCTCTCCCTGCCAGACTGTGTTCCTCTAGAATAGACACTTGTCCTTGTTTTATAGGGACCCAGCACCCAGCACAGAGCCAGGCCTAGAGCAAATATTTTAAACTGAATTTCCTCTGTTAAATATTTTTAACGGAATTTCCTCTTTTTATTGTCACTTTTAATCCGTCTCTACTTCAGTATCTGCTGGCCGTTTAACCCCCTCAACCTCTACCCGCCCCGCCCCCCAACTACCCCGTCCCTAACTCACACACTCAAGACAGGTGTCTGTCCCTCTCAACTCTGCCCTTGCTTCTCTGACTTATTCCCAGAGCTCAGTTCCACGGGCTCAGCCAGACCGGGTCCCCGCCCCGCTCGGCTCAGACCCCGCCTCTTCCACTCTGACCCCACCCCTACAAGCCAGGTCTCTCCCCCTCCCAACCTCTCCCCCCCACCCCCCGCCACGCCTACGGTCCAGCCCCGCCCCGCTCACGGTCGGTGTTTTTCAGCGACTGCTTCTTCTGCGAGGGCTTGGAGATGACCTTGATGAGGCGGCTGTGGAAGGTGCCCAGCTCCCGGCCCCCCCGGAGCACCAGCCGCAGCACCAGCCTGAAGTGCTTCCTCTTGTCTGCGTCTGAGATGTACAGGGTCTTGGCGCAGCCGAATTCCTGCGGGGCTCAGGGGGGTGGGGCCGGCTCATCTCAGCTGTCAGACTCGGGGTGAACCTTCCTCCCCCCGCCCCCGTTATCTGACGTCCGCCCCGTCGGACAGACGTGACGGAAGCGGCGTAGTCCAAGCTCTCGGGGCGCCCTCCCGGCGGATCCTCGGGGTCCAGGCTCCCCTCCCCACCTGTCGGGTGGCCTCTGCAGCGGAGTAGACGAGCTCTCCTCCCCAAGGAAGAGGCAGGGGTGGGAGCAGGACTGGGACCCCCCTCTTGTGCACTCTCACCCTGGAGTCGGGCTGCTCCTCGAAATTTAACTTCTGCGTCTCGGCTGCGCTGCCGGATGCGCCGTCCAGTCCCATGTAGCCGCAGACGGTGGGCCCCGTGTCCCCGGCGAGGTGGGCTGGAAAGGGACGCCGGCGGGCTCGGGAGGGACTCCGGGGCTGGGAAGGCCTACTTCTCGCCGCCAGAGGGCGCAGCGAGACTGGGCCTGCGGACCTCCCCGCTCCCAATCCCTACAGCGTGGTCCCCTCCCGAGGAAGGCGACCTGTCCTGGGGTCTGTCCTCACCTTGGCCCGGCACCGGCTTCACCCTCCAGCCAGGACCTGCGAGGTAGACACAGGGCGGGGGGCAGAAGAACCTGCGGAGACATGTGAGCGCCGAGCTTGTGTATCATCTCCCCTGTTCTGTCTTGTAGGCGTCTCAAAGGTAGCAGAAACCTGGAAGAATGCCCTTCCACCTTTCCCACCCCCACTCCCCAGGCTCCTCCAAGACTGTGAACCCCATTAACATCCGGGCCACCTCCACGCCACCTTTAAAACATACTCAGAACCCACTGGCTTCTTGGCAGCTCCACATCTGTATTTGTAAAACCACGAGCCAACCATGTCACTGATCTTCTTAAAATCCTCCAGTGGTTTACGTTCAAGGTCCTCATCTGATCTGGCCCCTGCTGACCTCTCCAACTTTATTTCCCTCATCCCCATTCCCTTCTCAAACTGCAGCCACGGCACTTCTTTTGTACCTCAAACAGGCCTCATTGGTACGGGGTCTGTGCATTTCCTCTTTCTCCCCATTGGAACACGCTTCCCCCAGGCTCTCTCCTGTCTGGCTCCATTTCCACATTCGAGACTCAGATCCGACGTTGCCTTGACCTTTCTAGCAAAAGTTCCCTCCCTTCTGTTTCTATCACAGTGCACTATCCACTCCCTTCCAGCTTTCATTGGGAATCTCGTTCATTGATTGTGGGGACTTCATTGTCTCTCTTCCTCCCTAGAATGAAGATGCCATGAGAGCAGGGACCGTATGTGTCTTGTTCAGCCATACGCCCAGTGCCCAGCGGTGCCCAGAGAGCCTGGCACATGACAAGCACTCAGTCCCTATTGTTGAAGGAAAGTATGAATGAATGGATGAGTGAGTGAATGAATGGGTGAGTGAGTGAATGAATGGAAACCGCAGATTCCCAGGGAGGTTCTGCTAAGACCAACGTGGGGCCTGTTGGTGGCTGAAGGAAAAGGTCCACGATCAGCCAACAGCTGAGCCCCATTCCTGCTCAGGTTCCAAAAGATGCTAAACAGGAGGAAGAGCTTGCAGGGTCAAATGCCCACGCGACCTGGGAGGGGCGGGCGGGGCACCTACCGCTTCTCATTTCCGTAGGATTTCTGGGCCACCTTGGCGTGCAGGATCCGCACCGTCTGCTCGCACTGCTGCTGCAGGCACCGGCGCACGCCCTCCCGCAGGACAGTGGTGTGCTCCGGGGAGGCCCTGCGAGGCCCACAGCGGGAGCATCAAAGGGTGAGGCGGCATGGAGCTCAAAGCACACGTGTGTTGAATAAGGTGACCAGGCGTCCCGATTTTTAACAACTTGTCCCGCCAAAAGGGGGACATCTGGTCACCTTAGTGTTGAATGAAATGAAGTTCCAGTGGTGACCACTGGTGGGCGCATGCAAGTCGTGAGCTAAATACTTGGGCTGCACGGTTCTCAGTGAGGTTTGCCTGGAGCCCACCTGGACCGCCCAGGCACACACACACCACCCTGCGGCGATGCCCCAGCGGCACAAAGACCCAACTTGTGTTGGCCTTGGGGTGGAGGCGGACTCTGCGAGGGCACCCGGCTCTCCCTGCACTCTGAGGGGACCTTGATGCGGGGGGACAGTAACCTTCGCTGGACCCAGGGAGCAGGGTGCTCTCTCGCCTGCTGGCAGACACCTGCAAACACGGAAGGGCCCCCAACCCGTGTCCGCAGTCTCCTGGGATTGGGGGAGGAGACCAGGTCACTGTTCCCCTGCAAACTAACCCTCCCTCCTTCCTCTGGAGAGAGAGGCCTGTTCCTGTCTCAGTTGTACTTTCCTTGATGGCAAGGCCTCCATTGCCACGTGGAGTGGGCCAGGCAGCGCCTAGGGCCTGATGGCTTCTCAGCCTGCGAGTTTTGCTGGGTGAGGGTGGGTGAGGGTGGGTGAGGGTGGGTGGGTGAGGGTGGGTGGGTGAGGGTGGGTGGGCCCAAGACTTAAGCAATTGCAGAGAACACAGGAGTCCGTGATGGCAGAGATTGGAGGACTACCAGTGGGGCCCAGGAGAGCCATTGAACCAAGGCTGCTCCGAATCCTCTACCCGCTTCGAAGGACCAGAGTCCAGGGCCGATCCTCACCCCTGGAGGAGGCAGCGGAGGCCAGGAGCCTGCCGCGCCCTGGGAAGCCGGGCTGCAAACGCGACCCGCCAAGCCCGCTCCCCCTCGGAGCTCCCCCGGGGAGCGGCGCGAGGCCGCCCACGCATTCCGGGCGCCGAGGGGCGGCCGCCCAGCCTCCGGCGGCACCGAATTCCGGCCCCGGGGCCGCGGGGCGGCTCTCCGGCGGCTGGAGCCCGACGCGCTCAGGCCCCGCCCCGCCCCGGAGCGAGGGGCTCGCCCGCCAGTGGGAGGGTCGCCGCCTGCGCTCCCCCTCCCCACCCGCCGCCCCGTTAAATGCGCCGCCGCCGCAGCCCGCCGCAGCCGCCTGGCCTCCCGCCTCGGGCCCGCCGCCCGCCGCTACCTGCTCCAGCCGCCCGCCGGGCTCCGCCCGTCCGCTGCGCTCCGCGGCCGCGCCTCCGGGGGGTCCCGCAGGTTCAGGTGAGTCAGAGGGCCGGGGGGCGCCGAGGGCTCTGGGGGGGGGGGGGCACCAAACTTAACTTAGCTGCAACCCGATTGTGTCCGCACTGGACCCGCGGTGCCCTCTCCACGTCTGGAGGGTCCTTTCCAAGCGGAGCCCACACCAGCAAGCCCCCCGAAAAGGGGAGGGGACGTGTTCCCCAACCCTCTCCCCTCGGAAACCCCAGGAACCTCCCCAAGGTGCTCGCTTTTCAGCCAGCTCTGGAGGAATCACTCACAGCACTTTCCTCCCTCTGGAGCTGGCTCGCCCTAGAGGCATCTCCAGATCTTGGGGGGTTGAGTCACCCCGCCCCCCTGCCAAAGAGCTCTGGGTTCTAGCGTCAGCCTCGCCACCACGTTGCTGTGTAACTTGGGGAGAGACACGGCTGTCTCTGGACCCAGTTCCTTCCTCCGTAGGAGGAGGGGGCTGGAGAGGGGATGGACTCCGAGGCGGCCGCTATGTTGATTTTCTAGGGTTCCTGGGGTACAGGTAGGGCGCCAGATGAGAGAGCAGGATAAGGGGACCTTAATCAGATTGGGGGGACCTCGCTGAAACCTGTTTTGCTCAGTGGATAGAGCGTCGGCCTGCGGACTGAAAGGTCCCGGGTTTGATTCCGATCAAGGGCATGTACCTTGGTTGCGGGCACATCCCCAGTGAGGGTGGGGGGAGGGGGCAGCTGATCGATGATTCTCTCTCATCGATGTTTTTAACTCTCTGTCCCTCTCCCTTCCTCTCTGTAAAAAATCAATAAAATATATATTTAAAAAAGATTGGGGGGCCTGGGGGCTTGGAGGCTTCTGAAAGTAGGAAAGGTTGAGAGATGGCAAAAACCCCTCGAGCTTATTAAACCTCCCTGCTCTGGGGATCCTGGCCTCAGCTGCGGCCCGAGCTGGAGAAAGCATTCCACACGTCTCCACCTCCAGCAGCTGGCACATCTGGCTCAGTCACCCTCCGCGACGGTCCCTGCCAGAGGGATTTTTGTTCCTCCACAGGCCTGGGAGGATCCGGGACGGGAAGGCCGCCTAGAGCGAGCGGCAGGCACCGGCCTCGCTCAGAATAGGCCCATTCACGGCTGGGGGAAGGGGCGGGGCTGCGGCTGGGTCGGGGGCGGCTGGCCCCCTCTGCCAGGCGGCGGCAGAGAAAAATGGCCAACGCATCCAGCACGGGAGTGGGAGAGAGCAGAGGGCGTGGATGCAAAGAAGAGAGGTCCAGGGGCCCCTGGACACCGGGTTGCCTGGCAACTCAAAAGGAAGAAATGGCTGAAACCGGTTTGGCTCAGTGGATAGAGCGTCGGCCTGCGGACTGAAAGGTCCCGGGTTCGATTCTGGTCAAGGGCATGTACCTTGGTTGCGGGCACATCCCCAGTGGGGGGTGTGCAAGAGGCAGCTGGTCGATGTTTCTAACTCTCCCTTTCTCTTCCTCTCTGTGAAAAACCAATAAAATGTATTAAAAAAAAAAAAAGAAGAAGAAGAAGAAGAAGAAGGGGAGCAACTCCAGGAGTCCCAGGTCTCTCTGCAGCTCCGTGGACTGCCAGCTTGTAGGGTAAGGTGAGCAGACGTCCTGCTTTTGGCGGGACAGTCCGGATTTTGAACAATTTGTCCCCGCGTCCCGCGGCATTTTAAAATAGTCCCCACTTGGGGACAAATTGTTCAAAATCGGGACGTCTGCTCACCTTAAGCTTGGGCCTCATGTTCTCCATCTGTGCAATGGGAGTCTTCCTCGTGATTCTCCAGGGGCTTCGCCCAGCGCCTGGAAGCGGGGGTAAACGCTCACCTGCTGCCCCCACAGGGTCCATGGCCGCGTCCCGAGGCCGCCAGCCGCTCCCTCAGCCCTCTGGGTGCGGCCCGTGCTGCTGCCCTCAGCACCCTGCGCGCCCCGCTCCGGGCCCTCAGGCCGGATATAGCCTCCCCTCGCCCCCCCCTTCCCGCCTTATCTCAAGGCCCGGGCTCCCGGCCGCTGTTTGCTCTGGGCAGGGGCACCTGCTGGGCAGATGTGGCTTCCCACGGCCACCGAGCCCATGAGGCCAAGTCGGGAGGGCGCCCCCTGGCGGCTTCTCCTGGGAGCTGGAGGCCAGTCGAGGCCCTAAGCTTCGAGTTCAAGTGCGCAGGGCCCAACCCCTCACCCTCCCAATCCTCCCCATCCGGAGCGCCAGGCCCTCCCCAGGCCTGTCGTTGCGCCGGGTGTGTGTATGTGTGTGTGTGTGTGTGTGTGTGTGTGTGTGTGTGTGGATAGCCACACAGAGGCGCCTTGTGTGGGGAGGAAAAGGGACCCCCGGTGAGGCGGTGAGGAATGGCTTCCTTCAGCAGAGGTTTTCCTCCCGGGGAAATGAAGGCGTGGAACTACCAGTCCCCTAGGTCAGTGGTCGGCAAACTGTAGCTCGCAAGCCACATGCGGCTCTTTGGCCCCTTTTGTTTTTAGCAAAGGCCAGCTTAGGAGTACCCTAAATAAGTTAATAACAATGTACCTATCTGTATAGTTCAAGTTTAAAAAATTTGGCTCTCAAAAGAAATTTCAATCCTTGTACTGTTGATATTTGGCTCTGGTGACTAATGAGTTTGTCGACCACTGCCCTAGGTATAGGATTGTATCCCGGTGCAACCGCTTTCTTGTCGCGAGACTTTGGGTACCCGCGCTTACATTCTTTGGGCCTGTTTCTCCATCTATATGCAGTGGGAACAGTGACAGACCCTCTCATAGAATTGCCAGCTTGTCGAGAGGACTAAATGCCACAATGCATGAGAAGCGTTTCACCTTGTGTCCAGCCCAAGGAATTCAGCAGTCTCACTGTAATGAAAATTAATTCTTGTGAAAAGATACACAAAAGCAGAGAGATCAGTAAAATAAACCCAGGAACCTCCTACACCCCAGGTGCCCAGCACCCAGCACGAGAGTCCTGCAGATCCTATTGTTTTGCCATTTCCTTTCCTCCCTCCAGGCTCTGACACGCTGTTTTCTGTCCCCCCCGAGTGCCATGAGGGGCCTTCCACGCTCACCACTGCCCATACTGCTGCTCCTCCTCCAGCCCTGGGAAACCCAGCTCCAGTTCGAAGGTGAGAGGGAGTCCAGCCCTGACCAGCGAGGGGAGAGGAACAAGTCAGGTTTTCTGACTGCAGCCAGCTAGGCCTGCTGGGAGAGAAAAGCAAGACGCTGGAAGTGTGTGTCCCTTTCCCCCTCTCCCCCCTCAAATGTAACCTTTCACCTCTCTGGGCCTCAGTCTCCCCATCTGTAGGACGTGACTTAGAGATAACAAGATTGGGCTCATGCAGAATGCCTATTTGGTGTTAAAATTTTCAGAGTTAATTGAAAAAAATCAAGAGATTTCACATGAAAATCCGTAGTTGGGACTTCTTTTTAAAAATCCAAGGATCTGCTAACATGCATCTGCATGCTGCATGCGACTTTCGGCTGCAGCTGCCCACTCTAGGAGGGAGGGATACGGGCTCTCTGGGTGCCCGCCATTCTATCCCACCGGCCCACTCCTCTATGCTGCCCACCTGGCTCCTACGGGCATTTGAATTGCCACATTGCCTCTCCCTGTCCCAAAGGGGCAATGCCTCCTCCGAACAGCCCTCAGAGCTGTCGGATAGAGGATTGGTGGATCTCCTGGCCCAGGCCCTCAGCACCTGCTGGAGGAGAGCAGGCATCTGACTTGCAGTTGCTGGGGTAATTCCTGAGGGCGCTGTTATGCAGGGCGAGTGCCATTCCACCCTGGTTTTCCCTGGGGATCTCCTCGGAGAGGAGGCTGCCTGGCCTAGGAAAGCCCTCTCTGACCTCCCCGCAGGCCCCCGGTGCCGCACCGGACCCCTGGATCTGGTGTTTGTGATCGACAGCTCGCGCAGCGTGCGCCCCTTCGAGTTCGAGACCATGCGGCAGTTCCTAGTGGGCCTGCTCCGCCGCCTGGACGTGGGGCCGGACGCCACGCGCGTCGGCGTGATCCAGTATTCGAGCCAGGTGCAGAGCGTCTTCCGGCTCGGCGCCTTCTCGCGCCGCGAGGACATGGAGCGCGCCGTCCGCGCGCTGGTGCCGCTGGCGCAGGGCACCATGACCGGGCTGGCCATCCAGTACGCCATGAACGTGGCTTTCAGCGTGGCCGAGGGCGCGCGCCCGCCGGAGGCGCGCGTGCCGCGCGTGGCCGTGATCGTGACGGACGGGCGGCCGCAGGACCGGGTGGCCGAGGTGGCGGCGCAGGCGCGCGCCCGCGGCATCGAGATCTACGCGGTGGGGGTGCAGCGCGCCGACGTGGGCTCCCTGCGCGCCATGGCATCGCCCCCGCTGGACGAGCACGTCTTCCTGGTGGAGTCCTTCGACCTGATCCAGGAGTTCGGCCTGCAGTTCCAGGGCCGGCTGTGCGGTGAGCTGGGGACGCGCTGGAGCGAGGCTCAATCTGCCCAGATTCCCGTTCCTACCTCTTCCATCCCCCCAAGGCGGGGGCCCGACTACCAGAGAGCGGAGGCACTTAAGGTGACCAGACAAATGGTTAAAAATCGGGACGTCTGGTCACCTTCCTCAAGGCCTAACGCACGCCATGCAGCCACGCTGTGTCCCATGCCAGCTCCGGCCACTTTTGCTTAGGCTTCACGCACCAATAGCAACATTTGTCGAGCTCTCCAACTAGGATGGGCTGTGGTTTAACCATGGGCTTAATGTCACCTCCAACACCGCCCCCTCAACACTGGAAGCACCGCCCCTCAAACGTGAGAGCCAAATGCCCACTCCAAAGAGTCATGTCTCGCCCACATTGGCATGGCCCTGCCCGCTCGCATTTTAGCCCCTCCTCCAAGCTGCTAGAGTTACTCCGCCCACCTTGGTCCAGCGCCTCTCCGCCTCTCCGCCTCTCCGCCTCACCCCTGCACAGTCCTGCCCCAGCCCATGGACACACAGGGCCGGGGCCTGCCTCTTTGGAGCCTATTCACAGGGGCTGTTCTTTCCCGAAGCCTTCCCACCTGGATCGGCCCTTCTCCCAGTGAATCCTTTCCCGCCTAAGTCCATACTTGGTCGTGGTTGCTGCCTTTGCCGGCACCCAGCTGTCTCTTGTGGGAGGGCTCTGCCCATCTGTCCCCTGCTGTTCTCCTCTTGTGTGTCCTCAGGAAAGAACCTGTGTGCTGACGGGGGACACGGCTGCCAGCACCAATGTGTCAGCTCCCCTGGCACCTTCCACTGCACCTGCAACCCGGGCTACCAGCTAGCGGCGGACCACAAGGGCTGTCTGGGTGAGAACTATCCCGGCCTGCCACCCTGAGCCTTCGGAGGCTCCCATCGCCCCAGCATCAGCCCAATGGGTCTGGAAGGGCCTTTGGAAGCAAAGTCCAGCTCCCTCCCCTTCTAGGTCTGAGAAAGGGACTGTGTGCCTGGAGCCACACAAGTCCTGGAGGCGACCACGGCTAGAAACCGTGACCCCATCATGCCGTGTGCTTCCTGCATCCTCCTGTCCACTCGTCCAGGCCGTCTCCTGCCTGGCTCCAACACACCTTCCAAATGTGTTTGTGTCTTCTCGCGGGCACATCGTTGGAGTTCCTGTAACTCAGATACTGCGGGAGTCTTCACTCCGTACACCACCACCTGCCGCGTCCATGCTGTCATTCCTGCTTCCGCATCTCCCCGGGGCTGCTCGCCTGGCTCTCTCCCTGCTCCTCCCGCACCTGCAGGTCTTTCAAGGCCGGCTCTTTACTGTTGCCGCCTGAAAAGCTACGGCACACAATGCTCTGCCTGTACAATCGGGACTTTCTTTTTCATGTGTATCTGTGTCCCCTCCTTTCATCTTAACGACAGATGCCATCTGCTGAGTGCCAAGTTAATATCAGACAGTGTGCTTGGAGCACTGCATACATTATCCCCCAGCCTCACCACAACCTGGAAAATGAGGTCATGTGATCCCCATCATGTCCGCTGGGGGTTTCTTGTTTCTAGAACGTTGACAAAACGGATCTGAAGCCCCATGAGATGACCCGCGAACATCCCAACCCCTCCCCCAGATCTCTGGGAACTCCCTGAGTGCTTCCATTCTTCTTCAGAATTCAGCCAGCTTATGACTCCTCTCTCAATTTCTCAGCCCCACACAGGCTGCCCTTGTTCCATGCGCATAAATCAGCCTCTTCCTTGGTTCACACACTTGTGCACACAACGACATGTGTGTGTGTATTTGTAAGTGTGTGCATATGTCCATTTCACTAAAGATGGGGAGGACAGAGGTGTGAATTGCATAAAGCCAAACATACACACCCCAAAGGAAACATCCTTTTTTTAAAAATCTTTATTGCTGAAAGTATTGCAGGCATCCCCTGAAACACCCATTTAAAAAAAAAAATAATTGAAAACTAAGCACCCTTCACCCTGAAAGCTCTCAGTCACCCACGGCACAGGATTTTTTTACTGGCTTCTCCACCCACACAGTCACTTATCTTCACACCATTTGTCTTGTTCTTTTTCTTTCTCTCTCCTCTTCCCCCTCTTTTCTAGAAACCCTAAATTCTCAACTTTTTAAATGCAGGTTAATTCACTCCTCTCCAGTGCTTAGTCCCCAGTGCAGCACTAGGCCATCTTTGCATGTCTCAGCCATCAAGATACGCAGCAGGGCAACAGCTCACCTCCTCCAGAAGGAACCTGTGAATAGCAATTGCTCTCTCTTCCACTGTTTCCTCATTTTGCAGAGGGGGAAATGGAGGCTCAGGCAGGTGAAGTGGCGGGATCTAGTTCCCCTGTTTCAGTCAGTGAGCATCTTCAGGGCAGGGGTCCTGTTTTCCGAACTGTGGATTCTTGGTCTTCATCCTGGCTTAGTAAGGTGCACCCTGGGATGCATCTGGGTCCTGATTGTTAGGGCCACCTGGCCCAGAGCAAGGTGGCCTGTGTGTATAGGAATCACAGATGCCTGGTTACCACCCCAGATTAATTAAATCAGGATAGTTGAGGATTGCAGTAGAGGCATATATTTTTTAATTAAAATATATTTTATTCATTTTTTACAGAGAGAAAGAGAGAGGGATAGAGAGTTAGAAACATCGATGAGAGAGAATCATCAATCAGCTGCCTCTTGCACACCCCCTACTGGGGATGTGCCGGCAACCAAGGTACATGCCCTTGACTGGAATCGAACCTGGGACCTTTCAGTCCACAGGACAACGCTTTATCCACTGAGCCAAACCAGTTTCGGCAAGGCATAGATTTAAATTTTTTTTTAAATTTTTTTTATTGATTTCAGAGAAGTAGAGAAAGGGATAGAGATAGAAACATCAATGATGAGAATCATTGATCAGCTGCCTCCTGCATACCCCAAGGGGATCAAGCCTGCAACCTGGGCATGTGCCCTGATCTAGAATCAACCTCCGGGTACATAGGTTGACACTCAACTATGGGTATTTATTGAAAGCTGTGCTGTCAGGGCTGAGAAGTGCAGTCCTTATAGTATATGCCAGCCTCCCCTCTCCCTCAGACATTGACCTGTGCACTGAAGGGACTCATGCCTGTGAGCACCATTGTGTCAGTTTCCCAGGTTCCTAGTTCTGTTGCTTCAGAGCTGGCTTTGTACTCCAGCAGGACCAGAGGAGCTGCAGGGCGAGCTCCCCCCCCCCCACACACACACACTAGCACCCTGGACTGAGTCTCTAATGGCTCCAGTCAGAAGCGATATTTTGCTGCCTTTTCCTTCCCACCAGTCATTGATCACTGCAGCTTTGGGAACCACAGCTGCCAGCATGAGTGTGTTAGCACCCTTGCTGGGCCAAGGTGCCGCTGCAGAGAAGGCCACGACTTGCTACCTGATGGGAGGAGCTGTCATGGTGAGAAGGGGTCTCCTGCATCGTGCAGAGGGGCAAGGGGTCTTAGCTGGTGGAGTCCACCCTGACTTACCCTGACCTGCCTCTCCGTTCAGCTCGGGATCTCTGCAATGGTGTAGACCATGGATGTGAGTTCCAGTGTGTGAGTGACGGCCTCACCTACCGCTGTCTGTGCCCTGATGGACGGCAACTCCAGGCAGATGGCAAGAGCTGCAACCGTGAGTTATGGGTGGGAGGGGACACTGTCCCTGCCCCCACTGCTCACATTCTGAGCATCGTTGACTTTGGTGTGGGTGTGGTGTGAATGTGTGAGTGTAGGGGGTGGTGACGCCGTTGGAGGGTGTGCCATGCCCTGCCTCTATCTCTTTCTCTCCAATTCTTTACCCTGTTGCCAATATATTTTTATTGATTTTAAAATATTTTTATTGATTTTTTTACAGAGAGGAAGGGAGAGGGATAAAGAGTTAGAAACATTGATGAGATAGAATCATCGATCAGCTGCCTCTTGCACACCCCCTACTGGGGATGTGCCCACAAC